GCCCCACCCCACTCGCCCTGACACCTTGGAGCTCCAGCCTTGCTCCCATCCCACCTGGGGTCCAAACAGCCTCCTGTCACTGAATTCAGCAGATTCCAGGGTGAGAACATTAGCAATTTTCTTTTTAGAGCGTGCCAGCGTTTCTAATTTTTCCACACTAAACCTGTCTTATGTAAGAAATTATAAAAGCTGTACGAGGTGGGTGGGTGTAGCTCAGTAGTAGAGAGCATGCTTGGCATGCACAAGGTTCTGGGTTCAATCCCCCATGTCTTGATAAAATATAAATTAAAATTTCTTAAAAAAAAAAAACCGTGCAAAATAAATACCCTACCATGCTCGTTCAGTGACCCGGCTTTAACCCTGGCCCCGCTCGCCCTCTTCCCCTCCTCGCTGTCCTACTGCTGGAGCCTTGGTCCCCTCCTGCCCCTTGGAGGCTGGGGTCTTAGCACAGCAAGGCGGCTTCCCCTGGGTGGGGCCCTGGGGCTCTGGGGAATGTGAGGAGTTTGAAGCAGCACATTCCGTGCTGTAATTTTATCTTCAGGAAATGAAACAGAACAACAGACAGGGGCCCAAACAGCTGATGTAATAATGCAGGCCCATTGCACACGGACTCATTTACTTGGCTGTGACTTCTTCACTTCTTTCTGGTCTCTCCCTAACTGCCATGGGAGGCCCTGGAGGTCAGGATGGAGTGTCTGCCCTGTCCCCGCACAGGCGCAGAGAGGAGTTTGATCACCATCTGTGCACCACTCGAGTGCATGACTCTTGGGCAGCAGGGAAATGCATAATTCTTTAGGGACAGATGGCTTTCAGGAGAAATGTGATTTTACGGTGTAGCAAGCCAGCAGTACATGTGAGTGATCCCATTCCCTCGCAGTGCCTGCCTTCACCTCCTCCTCACTGCCCCTCCACCAGCAACCTCATCTGGACCCCTGTAGGGTCTGCCCAAACAGGGCTTTCCTTCAAGGAGCTTTCTGAAGTTCAAATATTGAGTGTCTACTGTGTATCAGGCTGCTGGCCCCCTTCCCAAGGACCCCCAGGGGGTCAGGGCTCATGCAACCTGTCCCCAGAATGACAGGAACTTAAAGGCACTTGCATTCTCTTAAAAACAAAACAAAGCAGCTCCTTCTTGTCTCCTTATTGATTGTCCCATGATAATTTTCGGACTCACTGCCCTGTTCAGGTTCTTGACTTTCCTCTCAAACCCCCCAAAACAGGGATGGAAGCAGAAAGCTTCACCTCCTGAGGACTCAGTGACCCCCTGTTCCTAGGGGTGAGTTACCCAGATGGATGTAGGTTATCCAGTTTAATTGCCATGGCCTCGGAGGCCTCCAGCCCTACGAGTATTCCCATAGTCAACTCCTGCCCCCGTTTGGCTCTGGGCTTCTTCTGGGGCCCACTCACTGTTCTGCCTTACAGGCCTTGTGAGGCATGAGCTGGGTCAGCGGCTGGCGATAGTCAAACCCAGGCCTCCAGACCCCTAGTTCAGGGCCCACCAGCCATCACAAGCACTGGACTAGGAGTCAGCAGACCTGGGTTTGGGTTTCTGCTTAATGAATGTTCTATGTAGATCCTAATAAAAGGGAACAACACATGATCGTTGGATTCCTGGTGGCCTCCGTATCACCATTGTTCACTGCTTACCGACCCCTGACGTGTACCCCTGAGGACCAAGTATAGCCTAAACCTGTCCGTGAGACACGTCCATTGTAATCCCCACCCCGATTTCAGACCTGGTAAAATGCAAATAAAAGAACAGTGTGATCTGCAACCCAGAAACACCGCCCGGTGTGGTCCTGACCACAGGATCGTGAAGAAGGAAGTTCGGACCAGGCCTGAAGGCATGAAGATGTTATCTGACTCTCATTGTGATGCAGAAAGCCCCCAGCCAAGCCCAGTCCCAACTGGACAGACTTCGCGACGCGCTGGGGAAGGAGGCCAGGGGGACCGGAACCCTCCCCAGGGGACAGGGAGGGGTCGTGGCCACTGTCAATCTCAGGTACCTGGGAGGGAAGGGAGCGCAGGGAGCGGCGTCGGACTCCGCTCCTACTTAACCCTCCATCTCCCGCTGTCCAGAGCCCAGCGCCCTACCACTTCATCACCTCCGCACAATCCCTCCCCTCTGCCTGGCTCGCCCGCTTCCCAGGCCTCCCAGAGCCGAGGCCGGATGACCGCTCCCTCTGGCCGCCGCCAATGGACGCGCCGCGATCTGGTCCCTCCCGCCTCGCAGCTCTTGAGCCAGTCCAGGAACCTCCCCTGCTCCACAACCTTCCGCGGCTCCCGCAGTCAGCGCTCAGGTGAGGGCCCCCGAGGGCCTGGCCACGCCCTTCGCCCCGCGCAAGGTGGGCCAGGAAGCCAGAAGCCCCAGGCCCACCGCCTGGAGGGCGCACCGACGGGAAGGGCGAAGACTCCCGCAGGTAGTGATTCGCCGCCGAAGCAGTATCACAAGTAGTGTCCGAGCCTTCAGGCCTCGGAGGGTCCTGGCGCTGCAAGTCGTTTGCCGCGGTGTGTCCCCATTATACAGGAGAGGACCCTGAGGTTGGGCGGCCGAGTTGGGATCTGAATCCAGGTCCCAGGATTCCAGGCCCACTCCAGAGCGAGTGCACGCCACCTCTGGCCCAGCTGACCCGCATCGCTCACGCCGGGAAGTTCCCGAGCCGAGCAGGCCGTGGGCCCCCCGGCCCGACCTAGCTCCACGGTCCCTCCGCGGCGAACACC